TGCTTATATTCACACTTACTTACCACATTGATTGCCAGATTAAAGAAATGATCATATTATATATATATATAGAACATGACATTTTTTAAGTATGCATGGAGATTATGATGCTTGTTGGTCTGCCATCCTTTTAATATTTGTTTGCTTTTGCTAGAGGAGAAGACAGCTAGCTGAAAGTCCAAAAACCCTTATATACATATTTTCGATTTTTATATGTATTTTCTACCGTATATCCTAATTAGTTGAAGTAGTTTGTTCCCTTGTATATCGTATCTCGCTATCGATAAATAAACTTAGATTTTCTAATACAAACCCGTGAATCCAATCCATCCAATCAGAGAATATGTTCTAGAATCCAAACTTGAATATTTCAACTGGTAAAATGGGGACGCAAAGCGTCTGTCACGTCCTGATTTTGAATTTCAAATTTGGGAAGTTTGGGGCGGGAACGTATAATTCAAAGCAAATGATTGGTTTACGGCCCCACGATTAGTCTAGACCTTAGTGTAGGATAATTGGTCACCTAAAAAAAGATATGTTCTAGAGGAGAACAACTACATATCTTGTTGTATTCATCTAGCCGGATTCATAAACGAGATGTGTATATCGAATTATCGCGTACGAACTTGTCACATCTGCATTGTTTTTGTTATTACGTCCCACAATTATGCGTCATATGGTGTTTATTTACGTCCAATATTTCTATACCAACGTTAATTGTTGATGTTGTCCGAGTAAATTTTATATATATATATATATATATATATATATATATCTACACACACGTCTATCTATAGATATACGTACGTATTCATGCTGATGTGTTTAGATAGATACATGTAGAGAAAAAGACAGAGAGACCCGAGGAAAATTTCGGTAGCAGACGAAACCGGAATTAATGGTCAAATTATAAATGTAGCAAAGATCATGACTGGTACCATGCATATGGATATATATATATATATATACACACACACACCCCTTATAATGCAAAAGATTTCTCAAAAATTTTCCTTTTCATATACACATAGGTCTATATTTTGTTCACTGTCAAAGATGTGCAAACATATAATGAATATTTTCATTTCTGAATAAAACCAATCTGTCACAGTTAGTATGGGCTTTATAGGCATGTGGACAACATTAACTTGGTGTCCAACAATAATCAGACAGTGTCGTTGTCCGTTACAACTTTGTGCTGTCCTAATTTTGTTTATGCAATTAAAGATTATATGAATTAAATTCGATTCCATTATACATATCCTCGTCTTCTTTCGCCTTTTAGGTCTTTGAGAAAATGACTTGTCCGTTAAGTTACGTACGTTCTCATAACTCGGGGTTGGACCCAATTTCACGTCCATTAAAAATTCGGGATCCAAATTTGTAACTCTCCCTAAGAACGTATATTTTAATTTCGTGTTGAAACCAAATGGGCTTTCCGAAATAGTACATATGAAATGGGCTTTAATGGGCCTAACTACCATATAATAGTATTGAAAAATCTAAAATTTCATATTCGGATACAAGTACGGTATAAATTAGGGCTGACCAATTTGGGTTTCGGTTCAGTTTCGGTTCGGTTTTATTTGGGTTCGGTTATTTCGGTTATAAAAAACATTCGATTTTTATATAAAATTCGGTTCGGTTTGATTCAGTTATTTTTTTATTTGAGTTCAATTCGGTTTCGATAAAAAGTTCATTTTTCAAAGAAATTATCGGTTTTTCCAATTATTATTTTTATTTGGTTCGGTTTGGTTCGATTTCAGTTTTTTCAGATTTAAAAAAATCATAACCATTCGGTTTTGATGTCGGATACGGTTATACCTTATTCGGTTCGGTTCGATTCGCCTCGGTTATTTGATTAATAATCAAAATGGACACACCTAGTATAAATGTCTCATGATGAGTATTAGGGGTGGCCAATTCGGGTTTCGGTTCGGTTATTTCGAGTTCGGTTTGTTCGGTTATCAAAAAATCATAACCAAATGGTTATATAAATTTAATCGGTTCAGTTCGGTTGGGTTTTGATACAAAAAATCTATAACCAAACGGTTTTATTTGATTCGGTTCGGTTTTAAAACGGTTCGGATCGGTTTAAAAATGAACAATACCAAACTAGAGAAAAATTATAAAAAAATCTCATAATTTAATCCAAGACATAAAGTACCACGAATGTTTTACAATCTTATCCCAAAAAACTCCAAAAATCTTCAAGCATAGTATCTTACGCTTCATATTCTAAGTCGTAATATGATATCAATGCAAATATTTATCCAAAAAAGCTCCAAAAGTCTTCAAAGTCCTAAAGCTTCATTGTCATAAAATAAAGATAAGATCATGTAAAATATATCTAACAATTAGATTTTAATCAAGGTACAGAAGATACCTTATTAATCTTTCTTCTGTTCATTTGATAATCCCACACGAAATTCTATACAACAAAAAAAAAGAGTGAGTTATGAAACAAAAATTTACTAAAACATATACATAATCAATATGAATATATATATATATATATATATATATAAAAGATATACCTTCAACCATTGCATACATAAAGTCATTATTTTCAATCACATCTTTAAGAGATCGTGTTGCATCAGAGATAAGTGAAGACCGTAGCCAATTCTGTGAAAGAACCAATGCTTCGACCATATTCGGAGTTAAGCTATTCCTTGGTCTAAAATGTGACCTTCTGTACTAAAAGCTGATTTTGATGCAACCGCCGAGACCGGAAATGCTAATATATCTCTCGCCATTTGCGCTAAGATCGGAAATTTTCCACTGTGCATCTTCCACCACATTAAAATATCAAACTCCGTATTCAGATGGTTAGATCTTGCCACTTCAATCTTTTCCATCAAGTAAAGATCTAACTCACTTAGTGACCCCTCTACGTTTCCTACATCCGCCATCATTTGACTGAATGAAGCAAAAGGATTATCATATTTCTCGTAACCAATGCCAAGATCAATATCATCATTAGTTGGTACAACATAAAACTCGGTGTTTCCATGATCTATATTCACTTCCACCCTCAGCCACACTTGGTGTTTTGTACCATGTATGATACGAATCAAACAACCTCCGCAACACATCAGTGACACTCTTTTTCATCTCATCACATTTAGCATTATCTTTACCATATATCTTCTCGAAGGAGTTACAAAACTCATTTTGCTTATTGGATCGAGGACAACAGCAATAATCAATAACTTATTAATTTTTTCTGTCCCCTCCCAACATTTGTCATACTTCCACTTCATACTCTTAGCCATCGTACTCAAATTCTGATCTGAGTTGTCAATCAACGACGCTAAAACATATTCAACTCTTAGAATCTCATTATAACAACCACTCGAAGTGACTTTTTTTGTAGCAGAAAAGACCAGAGTTGAATCATAAAAAACTTTCAAGATATGTACTAACCGTCGAGCATTATCCCAATCGCTTTCCGATGGCGGACCAATCTTTTTTTTACCGGATATTGATCTCCATGCATTATATATGAGTAAATCATACGCATCAAACCCAAAAGAATATTAAAGATAAAAAGTTAATTTTTTCTTATTTATTTATATATTATTCTCATTTGGTTTGATTAAATTTTTTTATAAAATGTTTCTCGAATATTGTTATTCAATTAGATTTAAAGATATTTTAGGCGGATTAATGAAATAAAATTATTTATTAGCTTTAGAATTTACTCTAGATTTCTCATCATCATACTCGTTTTTTGTCTCATCTGTCTCATGTTGTTCAAACCTAAATCCATCATACCAAAACCGAGAAATCCCAATATCATACACCTGAATATATTCATGTATTGTCTGTTTTTTCTATAAAAAATGAAAAAAAAAGTTGGTGCATAAATAGGGCAAGAGCATATATTCGTGTTGAATGAGTAACATTCATCACTTTAATGTGTTGAATATATATAACCTAAATATAATCAACCTCTTAAATCGATAAGAAGAAGTTTTAATCAAACCAAACGAGAATAATTTATATATATACCAATGAATGTTTGAATTGGATTGAAAATAATGGAAAATATTAGGATTGGGATAAAACCAATAGCACATAATCGAACTCAATGATAATATGAAATCCAATAATAAAACATACGAAAAATCTTATAAAATATCTAAAATTTACAAAACGTGTTAAAAATAAATCAACTTTTAATTTGATAAATAAATATGCCAAATGTTTAAATATGTCAAAATATCTCAACTATTAAAATAAAATAAAAAACAATTTTCTACATATCGATTATAAAATTATATTCGAATAAAGATTATTAAGATCTTTTAAAATTGGTGTATAAAACAATTTTTAAATAATTTGAGTAAAATTATTGATATGTATTTAAGTACTATATATGAAATTGCTTTCTATTCAAAGAGTTTGAAGTATTTTTTAACTTAATTTAAGATTTATTGTATTTATTTGATATATATATAGAATTTGAATATTTTCACGGTAGTTTTTCTAAAACATACCACGTGAATATAACATAGCCATAACAAATTACCAATAAACCCATGATACGACTAGATTCCGTTACAAGCTTCGCATGCTTTCCGGTTGATTCGAAGGGCAAAACCGTAAATCTCATCGAACAAAACAATACATATATAAAACTATGTACGTATATACCCTTGAAAATAGTATGCACGGTAAAATCAATTCAGTTTTGAAACTTTAATAAGCTGGAAAATGGAATTTCACGGAATAAATGAAATCAAATAAAATTTGAAGTTTTTTTTTATTTGTCTCTAATATAAAAATTAATTAAGCATGAAAAAAATAACGGAAGGGATCTTTGACAAAAAAAATAACGGAAGGGGTAATTTAATAAATATGAGGGGAAAGAGGGGGCAAAATAGTAATGTCAGAAGAAAGACAGTCTCACGAGAAGAAACGAACCGAAACATCAGGTTCCCTTTATAAGCCCCCCTCTCCTCTTGGGCTTTGCAGTTAGGCAGATGCAGGTAGGTACATATAAAAAACAGGTTTTGAATTTTGAAAAAAAAAATGTTATTTTACCATGATGGAAGGAGAGACCCCCCCGCCGCAATGGCAGGCTCCGATGAAGGTTTGAGGAGCGCAATTGAGGCGGAGCTCGCCGAGTTGGTAGGAGGAGAAGCAGGGGAACCCAACGGCGGCGGCGGAAGCAAGGTGAAGGGGCCGTGGTCGCCGGAGGAGGACGTGGTCTTGACGAGGCTGGTGAGCAAGTTCGGGCCGAGGAACTGGAGCCTGATCGCTCGTGGAATCCCATGTCGTTCTGGGAAATCGTGCCGATTGCGGTGGTGCAATCAGCTTGATCCTTGCCTCAAGCGCAAACCTTTCACTGGTGCATCCAAAAAACACTCTTCTCTCGATCTCTTTGTGTGCTCTTGCTTTGATTTCTGGGTCCTCTTTGAGTTTTTGTATCTGATGGATGTTTGTCAGTTACGGATTTCAGGAACCGAGTCCTTTCGAGTTTCTGCAAATCTGGATTGTATGTGTAGGTGACTTGAATGATGATATTATTTCTGAATTTACACAATGGCTTGTAAGAGTTATAGTCAAATTTCCTTGTTTCTATGAATCTTAGTCCCGACATGTGATGTATCATCCATGAGTTCGTGGAAGTGATGTTGAAAATTGTGTCAAAATGGAAAGAGAGTACAATGATGATTTCTTGAATGATAGTTATCGAGATGCAACTTAGTGAAAGCCATACTTTGAAGTTGCTTTTGTAGCTCTTCGACTACTAGGTTAGCTACACTAATAATACTGGAAACACGGAAGAGATGATGACACGGGAGTGGAATTTGGTGGCGTAATCTTGTGAGTAACCGTTTATCATCATCCTCGGTGTTTATCCTTGTGGATTGTGAATCGGAAGGGAAAGAATTACAGGTCGAATGCATAAGAAGATGCACTTCGCTTCCTGTGAGCTACCATGGAAATACATTTATCATTTTTTCTAACATGTATATCACTTGCTGCAGATGAGGAGGACCAAATCATAATCTCGGCTCATGCAACTCATGGAAACAAATGGGCTGCAATCGCAAAATTTCTGCCTGGGAGAACAGATAACGCCATCAAGAACCACTGGAATTCAACACTGAGACGTAAATATGCAGATCCATGGAAGTTCAAGTCTGGCATCAAGAAAGAAAAGGTGGAAAACATACCAACTCCATCCCCAGAAGAACAATTGTCTCAGGGAGAAAAGACCACTTCTGAATCTCCAGAACTAAATGATGTTACAATGGATGATAGCTCCAATGAATCTCGTGAACATAATATATATCGCCCAATGGCTCGTATCGGTGCATTCACCAGCCTGAGGAGTGGATACAGGGAGCAACATATAGTGCCATGTGAGGGACCTCTGGCTCAGGCCTCCAGACCTGACTCAGCCGGTGGTGTATTTCTTCAGTCCCTTTCCGATGAACCTAACATCCCCGCAAAATGCGGGCATGGTTGCGATACTTATCCGTCCAAAAGCTTGTCTTCCTCTCGGAACTCTCTGTTGGGTCCAGAGTTTGTGGATTATGAGGAAACTTCTACCCTTTTGGACCTAGAATTGATCTCTATAGCCACCGATCTCAACAACATTGCGTGGATAAAGAGCGGCCTTGACAATACGCTTGTTAGAGAATCTGAGCAGAGTTTGAAGGCCGATGATTTTCAAGCCAAGTTTACCGGGATGATGAACAAGACAAGACTTTTCTGCACGAGCTGAACTCGAGGGATTGAACTAGGAGATACGGCATTCATATTCTCTTTCGTGCTTCTGATCATAGAAGCTGGGAGCACAGATCTCTTGAAGGGAGAGTATTGGCGTGATACTATGGAAGATGAGATTTTCATCGGCTTGTAGGTATGTACCGGATTTTCCTATTTGATATTTTACGTCGAATTGGATCAAAGAGATCTTTTTTGTACGAAACATTATGATTACACAGTTGTGGTTGAAGAAGGAAAAAGGCTTGCCATTGTATCTTTACAAGCACTTTTCTCCTTGTGCATAAACATATACATACATACATATATATATATACAACAAAAAAAAAGATCGATGAATATCGATAGACTCTTATCGCAGGGATACATCATAATCTTCAACGGCGATCACTTTAGAAGATTTGAGCTTAGAGAAACCATTGCAGAGCTTCAATGGAAGCATAGGACTGTAATCTCCAACAGAGAAGCCATTGTCATCTTCTTCTTCATCCTTCTCCTCTGTCTGCAACTCGCCAGGAGGCAAGAAGCAATCAGAGGACAAACCCTTCACGTCAAAACCGACTTCTTCGATCTCCCAAGCCTCTTCCACCGTCGTCTTGGAATGTTTCTCTGAACTCTCGTCCAGCCTGAACAATGACACGCGCGTCTTCCCCACGTGTGCAATTTGGACCCCATCAACGGTCCTGTAATCTTGGATCATGGTCTCTGTTGTCGTCTCGCATGAGATTACGTTATCATGGTCTGGACCTGTCTGGATCCTTAAGACATAACTGTCTTCCAGTTTAACAAGAAGTCCTGTTCTTTGACTGAAACATCCCCAGATCGTGTGCTTCACCGTTTCTGTACGGTTTCTGCTCTTTTCTTTAAGCGTTGAAGGTAAAGTTTCCAACTTTAGGACGAAACATTCTTCTCCGTTTACTGTCTTCTCCCCGACACAAACCGATCTTGCAAACAAATTGGCTGTGGTTTTCGGATCAAGTCCTTGAAGGAACCTTCTGAGAGGTCCGGAAGGTCCATTAGAGGCATGGGAATGGCTGTGCCAAGGGGTCTGCCTCCAAGCCACGTCGCCATCACAACCAGCACTGATCTTGAACCCTGAAACCACGAGCTCTAAACTCCATAGCTCTGAACCTTTCTTCCACAGGACAAAACCGCCCATCTCTCCTCCATTGCAGTTTATGTCCTTTATCCTCACCATCTTCTTCTTCTTCTTCTTCATCCCCAAGCTGCTTGCTCCTGCACAAAACTCTGTCACTCCCATCTTGACTTTTCCGATAGCGTACATGTTCTCCACTGCAGCCATGGCCCTCTCTCCCCCGGTTGCCGCTATGTATTGCTTCACTATGTACTTCGCCATGGCTGATTCCTGCAGATCAGGGTAACAGAATGAGAGTTATGTCAGTAACTTGTTGCTCAAGCAACTGCATGGTAATTCCTGAAATGGATTCATATGCATCTTTATAATGCATGGAAATCAAGAAATTTCTAATTTCGATCAAATGGGTGTCTGGAAATCTCGTTATATAGGCAGAATAAAACAGAGAATCATGCGAATGGATTCTACTCACAATGGACATGTTCTTGGCGATGGGATGATTATCAAGCTCGTCGTCATGGTGATGGAGACAGATGGGAAGAGGGATCACCGGAGCTCCGGCGACGCCGAGGAGCATCTGAATCTCAGCGTCACGGCCGCCGAGAACCGCCGTGAGATTGCTCGTCTCCGGCGGCGACCGGAGGAAGCTTGACTTCACGCTCTGCCACGCGCCGATCTTGTTGCTGTCGGAATAAAACAACTCCTCAGGCATTGGAACTTCCAGCACTGTCTCAAGACCGTCTTCACGGTCGTAGTTCGGACATAGCTTCCTCATATTGGATCAAACGGAGAAACAAGAATCTGAATTAAGATAAGAGCTGAGAGCTAATCAAGAAAATAAATATTGAAGTTTTTTTATGGGTTTCTTTGGTTATATGATGATTTCTGGAGAAGAAGGGATCGATGAATATACGAGAGGTTCGATGAATTTATACGAAATAATTTGTAGAATTAAATAAATGAAGAAACGGACCGACCGGAGCCGATCTTATTCTAAGTCGATGCTATTTGTCTATTGTCGTGTTCGCACGCTTCATGTCTCTCTTTCTTCTTTGTTATAGTAATATGTTGAAATATATATCTTTGGTGTTTATCCTCCTTTTGTCCTTTTGCTTAGTATACAAATTAAGATAGAAAAGAAAATTAATATTTGTCTGATTAGATAATAAAAATGTTTAATTACATCTCTTTAGATATTGACACTTCATGAATATATATAATCGTAAAAATATTGGTGTTGTCTAAATTTGACCTTTCTTGGTGCGTAAGAAGACTTCATAAATTTCTAAATTGTATGCATAAATTTTAATTTCCACATTTATATAAACACATTAATGCAAGCTACGGTCTATTTTGACATATTTTTCTTGGGATTTTGTTTAGTAATAGATTTATGCGTATCATGTATATTTTTTTTTTCTTTAGGAGTATTTCGTGTAATCCAGTTTAATGTCATAGGTCGCATTCATCATACGGCGCCGTGTGAAATGGTTTGCATGAAATTTCAATTTGTATTAAATTGGCCGTTGACATTTAATTTTTTACCATATTTTCCTTGCAAAACTATTTGGGAAAAATCTTATAATATCATATATCTAAATTATACAGAAATCAAGTACAAGACCTAAAACCGAATATTTGCAAATTTACTATACATTAAATCATCATGTTAATTTTCCGTCTAATGTTTCAAATTTTTACGAAGAAAATTCATCAAAGTTAGCTTTTAGAGAGACTTCAGGGGACGATACTTAAAGTGCAAGGATTCTAATCACAAGCCAATTTACCAAAAGTGTCTTATACATTATATATATATATGGTTCGTTGAACATTGATAAAATTGATCTTCAAAAATATCCATTATAAGATCATATTTCTTCGAGAAAAAAATTATGAAACTAAATCTACGTTATAATATATATATATATATATATATATATATATGTATATATATATATATATATATATATAACAAAAATGGATATTGAAGACGACGTTTTGATTGGCAAAGAAATTGTCGGCCGAACGTGGCTGACGCCGTATCATCAGACCGACTATTTGCATTATCTCTATCAATTTTAAATTTCGATTTTGCTTGGTGTTGGAGTGACATTTTCAAATCTAGAGAATCGGTTGCCTTAATCATTAATTCAGTTCCCTTAATGTCTATCTACTATATAATATAACCTTCGGACTACATGTTTGTGTTTTAGTCACAAGCACAATGAATGAACCATAATATATGATTTTTTTTTTTCATGAAAAAAATATGAATGATTGGTTGGTCTAAACAATCATGCAGTCCATGCACCGTTGTTCCGTATCTCTTTCTTTTGATTTGCATTTTGTCGCACCAAATCATTAAACAAACTATACGATACATAAAACCGATTAGAAATTTTTACAGGAAATATTTGCTATAACATGTTCGTTGATTTTAAATATTCGGGCGTTCGACGATCATTTGAACAGAGCAGGATTATGATTTATTTTTAAAATTAAAAAGAATCTAATTAGAACCGAGCAATAGTTCCGCTAATTGCGGATTAGTTCACGTCGCAGACACGTGTGTTCCCATACCGCCTTTGTCTTTCTCGCACGTGTTTTGCCTCTCGCCGCACCAGCCTTTGCATCTTTTTTTCCTTTTTAAAAAACAAATATTCTTTTACATTTTGTCCTAGGAGGTTATCTTCTTATATTTAGAAAAAAAAAATCGAATATTTGTTTTTTTTAAATGATACAAATTAGGTTTAAAAAAATCGACAACGCTTTGAATGACCCGTTTCATCACATTCTAACATATCTTCATCTTGCAATTTTTAGTTTCTTTGCTTGAAAATATTTATTAAATTATATCAAATATATGAAAGAAATTATTGCATTTCCTTTGTTTTTAAGGGAAAAAAATATAATGAAACCACAAATACATTAATTCGAACACATGTTATATGTATATATATAGTTCATATTATTTCCTTTTTCCTTGATTTATGTTCTTTTAGCCATAAAAAAGAATAAGAATACATGAATATAAATAAAACCATACAAAATCTATAAATAAATATGCATAAAAATGTTGTTTATTAAGGAATAAAATCCAATACAGAAAAAGGCCTTGTAAGGCCCATGAAAACGATGAGCAAAACGGTCCACACATATAAAGGATTTGTAGTGTTCAACTTATCCGTTCACTTGCAAAAGCAAAAGATGAATCGAAAGACAAAACATGACTAACCAGTCGGTCCAAAGATTTAGATGAAGACCCATCTTGTCCTAAACATATCTCAGCTCTTTCCTTCAACTTCAAACTCCTCTCTCTCATTTCATACCCAAAACTTTCAACCATCACCCTTCTGATCACCTTCTCAATCTGCCATCTATCCATCTCGCTTCTCTCCAACCGAACCCCGACTCTCCAGACGTCGGAAACATACCTCGAGTTCACGTGTTGATCCGTGAAACACGGTGTACATATCATCGGAACGCCTTCGCATATGCTCTCCAGGGTTGAGTTCCATCCGCAGTGAGTCCAGAACGCTCCAACGGCACGATGTGAGAGTACGTCGTGTTGATTCGCCCATTTCACGAATTTACCCTTTTGCCCGAGCTTTTCAACGAACCCGCGAGGCAATGCCTCGATCCATTCGGTCCCCCGGACGAACCCTTGTCTTATCACGCACACGAAAGACTGTCCGCTGTTGCTTAGACCCCAAGCAATCTCGAGAAACTCTTCCCTGCTTATGGCGGCAAGGCTCCCGAAACTGACATAGACCGCAGATCTCGGTTCTTGCTTGTCTAGCCATGCGTTGATGGATTCTTGGTTCTCTGTCGGCTTGAAATCCTCGAGGTGTTTGTGAAATGGGCCGATCGGGAAGATAGGAACGTCTCGGAATTGGCTGCGAAGATCGTCGAGCGGAGGTCCTTCGAGATCTTCGAAAGTGTTCCAGATTGCGCCGGAAGAAGATTTCACTCCCTTCACCATATCGCTCACTATTCGGTATAGTTCTCCCGGCTTACTCGTTTCTATTACAGGAAGATCTTTCACCTTCAAAGGCGGAAGCTCTGTCACCGGCTCTTCAAGTCTTGAATCTTAAGTAAATAATATACAAACACAAGCCTTAGTATATATGTATATATATCACATGATTATATCCAATACGACTTAACCCTTTCAAAATTTATCAATATATATATAGACACATATATACGGTAAAAGAGTCTTTAGTTATGTTGAAATAGAAACAAAATATGGAGATTTGATGTACTTGATAATAATTAAAACATAATAAAATAAAATATATATCGTGTCAATTATATTTTGCTTTATTTGTTTTTCTCGTATCTTTATTTTTTTGTTTCTTTCGATAATTTTTCTTATATATGTATGAATTATTTTCATTACAATATAATAAGAATAAAAGATGTAGCAATAAAAATGTTTTCATTCTTTTCTTTTTTATTCTTTCTTTCTAATTTAATTTTCGCATTTTATTTTTCAATATAGTATAACATCGTTGTCATTTGGACTGTATGTTTTTTTTTCTAATTTTTTTTTTGTATTTTGAATGTTCATATATCCAAATCGTTCAAATACGGGTAAAAAAATCAGATTCAAACAATGTACTATGACAAAGAAATTAAAACTAAAAACTCTAAGATCATACAAGATGTTATGACAAAAAGAGTTAAAGTTAGAATTTTAAAGTTAAGCGAAATGATTTGAAAAAGGTTAATACCTTCTACATGATTCATGAATGAAATTTGGTGTCTATGGATCGTTCGAATAACAATGAAATTTTTCATCATTTTGTTTTTTCTTCAAGATTGATTTTTGAATTCTTTCAAAATATGGAGATTTGATATGATTGATAATAATTAAAGTATAATATCAATTAATAATAAAATATATATTGTGTCAATTATATTTTGTCTTATTTGTTTTTCTCGTATCTTTATTTTCTTATTTCTTTCAATAACTTTTCCTATAAATGTAGCAATAAAAGTGTTTCCATTCTTTCTTTTTTGTTCTTTCTTTCTAATTTAATTTCTGCATTTTATTTTTCAATATGGTACCAAAACAGCGTTGCGATATGGACTATAGTTTTTTTTTTCTAATCTCTTCTTTGTTTTGCGTTTTGGATATTCATATATCGAAATCGTTTAAAGGGGATAAAAAAACCAGATTCAAACAATGTGCTATGATAAAAAAAAATCAAAATTTAAAACTTTAAGATCAAACAAGATGCTATGACAAAAAGAATTAAAGTTAAAACTTTAAAATCAAGCGAAATGATTTGAAAAAGATTAATACTCTCTAAATGAATGAAATTTGATGTCTATGGATCGTTCTAATAACAATGAAATTTTTTATCATTTTGTTTCAAAATCAATTTTGAGTGGAAATGTTGAAATATAAATAAAATATAGAGATTTGATATGAATGATAATAATTAAAGGTATAACATAAATTAACAATAAAATATATACCGTATCAATTATATTTTATCTTATTTGTTTTTCTCGTATCTTTATTTTTTTATTTTTTTATTTTTTTTTAAAAAATTTTATAGATATATAAATTATTTTTATTATAATATAAGAAGAAGAGATGTAAACATAAAATGTTTCTTTTCTTTTTATTTCTAATTTAATTTCTGCATTTTATTTTTTAATAATTTTTCATAACTTAAAAACATCTGCGTACTGCAGCTGCCGTTTAGGTATGTAGACGTGAAATCTATGACTAAATAGCATATGTAATAGTTTACAAACAACGAAGGTTATATATATTTACATACATATATATGATATATAGTTAAAAGTTGTATCTAATCCGATAATTACATGAGTAAATGTAATGTATATATCTCGTGACGGTGACAATACGAACGGAACATGACACGTGGAATATAAGTTTTTGGTGGTAAAGAAATTTAAGTGAAAAAGAGAGAGAGAGAGAAAAAAATAGAAAAGAAGTACCTTGAATGGGCAAATAACCCTTATCTCGGAGGAGAGGGAAAGCGGCGAAAGCACAAAACGACGCCGCACCACCTGTCCTCAACACCATCCTCGAAACCCTAACCTCATCCGCAACTTCACCGGCGAAACCCCAAATGGCATCGGAGACCAAACAGCTCACCGCCTCTCCGCTTTCCTCCTCCGCCGTCTCCTCCGCAAGAGCTCGCCGGAATGGCTCGGCGAATCGGTGGTTGAGCTCCCGGAGAAGGCCGACGAGGTCGAGCCCCGAAGCCTCCGACTGAGTCAGAGTGTTTTCGTCGCCAACGGTACGGAACGTGAAGTGGGGATGCCGTGAAGGGTCGGGGAAGTTGAAGGAGGTGTGGATGACGATGACGGAGAAGCCACGGCGGTGGAATATTCCGGCGAGCTGAAGCATCGGGTTTAAGTGACCCGGGAATGGTAACGGGAACATGATTATTCTTCTTCCTTTTCTGTCCTCCATTTCTTTTTTGGGATTATGTTTTCAGTTTGGGATTTAAGAATGTTTGATTGGTTCTTTGGGGTGTTTTTTAGGTTCTCAAACGCTGTTCTTGCTAGTGGTTTGAGTTCCCATGATGTGGGATACTTGTACAAGTGTTTCAATGTACGTAGATCAGTGTATATATACATATTATTAGATTCAAAGAACATAGTAATTTTAAACTCGGAATTATTTAAATTTAGTAATGTTACATCTTTTTACAATTTTTTATTTTGAATTTTCTTTCATATATGTTTGTGATAAAAAATGTCAAGTCCATTGTTTTAAGTTTTAAATTTTATTTGGAACCAAATTCATATCACATTTAAAAAAAAGTATCATATAATATTTTTAATATTGAATCCCACGACAAACTTATCCAATCAAATCATAAACTAAATAAAATATGAGACATATATAATTAACTGTTAATGCAAGTATTTTGGTACGGCTGCATTAAACTCGAACAAGGGCGCGAAAAAGAAAAAGAACATCACATGGGAAATGGCCGACAACTTCAGAAGAGTACAAAATTGAAAGCGAGATGCAAGGCAACTTACTAATAAGTTTTAACATTACAAAATCACATGATTTTTGTTTCCAAAGGAATCTTTTTGGAATCCAAAGTTTTATTTTCCTGAAATTTGAGCTGCGGAAGATAAAAATCCGACTAGAAATCTAACCGAAACGAAAATAGTAATCTTATATGTTTTGGATTCGATACATATTCATTTTGAAATGATATCAACTCGATTAGTTGTAAAATAAAACATGGAGATCTATGCATTTGCATATTTGTGGTTAATTTGGTTAACAAGAGAACCGATCCAAACCAAATAATGTACCATCATAATCAAATCAGATATAAATTAAAACCGAAAAAATAAAATCTAAAACGAATAAAAAAGTTAGAATAGAATTCGATATAAAATGGATAATTATAGATTTTGTTAAACCGAAATAATTGATTGTGAATATAACCGAACCGAAACATGAAATTACCGCTCTCCTACTCACAAGGCTTAATGTTTGGCATTAATTTCATAGTTTGGTCGAAGGTTTTCCTAAATCTGGAAGAAGAAAAAAGATAGAATTTAATGCAAAAACCAAAATAAAGACGGAACAAGAATCGAAATTCTTAATACGAGCCGGTCCAGCCCATAAATATTGGATTGGATCTCTTGCGATCTTCCTCATGGCTTTGAACCGGTTTACTTCAGCATTCAAAGAGCCCATCTTTTGCTCTCTCTCTCTCTCTCTCTCTCTAGATTAGACTTCATTACACAAAATATTTAATTTGTTAATATTACAATAATGATAAAACTTGGGTACAAATTTACATATGGAGAACACCTTTTTTAGTTATGGCATTATCAGTTTGGGTTTTAATCTTATTTTTCACATGAATTTGAACAACTTAGAAACAAGCACTCTGTGTTGCCTTTTTTTTTATTAAACAAAAATATTATGTTTTGTAATACGTAGATTTTCCAGTACCAGAAAGTTTGACCAAGTCAAACAGAGACATGTGACGGTCTCCGACATGTGAGCTTTCTTTTCTTTTCTTTTTTTGTTTTTCAATTTTCAATTTTGGGTTATCCCAAACCCTAAAGTTGGGGCCCACAGCCTTGGAAGAAAAATCTTTTTTGGACCCAAAATATCTCATTTGTCCGTGGATAGTCTATCAAGTTCGTTCGTTTCCAAACGAATTGAATCAGATTTTTTTTTGTTTTCGTTTAAAAACGAGTCTGATAAATTGGTCCCGGATAAAATATTATTTTTAAGGTTATCTATATTATAATTTATACATATTATTTATACAAAATAAAATTAAAAACACTTTATATTATTGATTTTGTTAAATATAAATTATATTAATCGTATTTTGTAAATAATTTTGTTATATTTTGTTGTTGATTTCGAAGATAAAAGTGATTTTATCTACAGCTAAAATAGATGATGATTGGTATTGATTTTTTTTATTTACAGTTAGAATTTTTGGATTTGTTTATGTAAGTCTCACTAAAATTTCTAAATTTATAAAATGTTGAAAAATTAATTTTTTTTATATATCATTATAATTATTATAAAATGTTTCATTATAAATCTAAAACGGATTTATTTTAACATCGTTAAGTTTTGTTTTGACACCGATTAAAAAAAAATTGAAAATTACTTTTATTAAAGATTGTTGTATTACTTTTAAAAAAGGTTTACGTACATATATATGCCAATTTTGCCAAAGCAAAAGTAGAAACAAATCATCAATAGAAGGTAAAGTTGCAACATAAGAGTTATGTTCTTCTCGCAAACCAAATCCACAAAGAAGTAGATATCATGGATGGATTAGTAGTTCGTAGTGTCGCCATTTTCGATCGGAATCCGTTATCAACATCCTTTGACAGTGTTGATTCTGAAAGAAAAACTTGAGTATGCATCCTTCCACAATGTGTATATAGTGAATTGCCATACGATACGATGTGAACAATCCATCTCCGATATGAATCCGTCCAATTATCTAGTAGCCATTGGATGAAAACCGTAAACCACAACGTTGTATGCTGGTACGAAAGATACATTGGGTGGTTTGGCAGTTGGAGAAGAGATGATTCCTAGATTCATTCTAACTATTGCAGAACAAGCACATTTGATTTGATTCTGAAAGGAAAATTTATCTTATTAATATTTTAAATTAGAAAAAAAATATTATATATGACTATGGTTCGATGAGATACCTCGTTTGGTTTGGAAAATTGGTGAACCGAATTGATTCAATGGTTTTTCTGACCCATTTAAAAATAAATCTAACGAATTGTCTCGTGATGTTATAATTAGGGTATGAAATTAGATGTTTCTGATACATCATGGCCTATCAGTACTGTCCATGACCAGGAGAGTGCGTTCTCTTGTGTTGATGAACAACCTAGTGATATATATATATATATATATA